ACCTGGCACCAGCCCTGGGACACTGCAACCCCGTGCAGCACATGGCACAGGTCCTAGACTGCTTTCACTCTCTCACCCTGAGAGAGGCATGAGCTGGGGAAGTTCCTTAGCCCAAGGAATGCAGGCAGCCTCAGGTGCTGGGGCCCCAAGGATGGGGCTTCCCCTGCACGACCGTCAAGAGTGATCTGGCTGCACACACCAGACCCCAGGAGAGAGAGAAAGAATTGTGCGAAGTGATGGCAATGTTAAATCCACAAGTGCACAATGGAAAGAGAGAACCTGAGGATGGGAACCCATTTATGTGGCTCTCTTGAGTTCCAAAAAGACAGATAAGCAACTAAGGGAACTTCTGGGTATGGACTTGAATTCCAGTCTTTTTGGGAACATAGGAATTTCCATGCTCTGCAGGAGAGGTTGGCTTAGAGTAGGAATGCCCGTTACTCTGTTAATAAAAACCTCTTTCCTTTCCCATAAATCTTCCTGTTATGTCTGTACACAGCAGCAAGCAGCCGGACCCCAGGCTGCCCTGTTACAAGAGAGAGATAAAAGCCTCAAGACAAAGGACCCAGTATGTGTGCTCTCCCTCTGGGCAGCCACACTCACACTCCCTTCCCTTTTTGCTTCTCCGACTTCTTTCCCCACAGGTGTGCTTCTCCTAAACTCTACAGCAATGGGCAACTGGCAGCTTGTTCGAGGCTAATGCCCTGAACTGGTCTCCAAGTTCTACTTTTCTCTGAATTCCCAGTGAGCTAAGGCAGTCCACCCTAGGCTCTCCTGTTGCTTCTTCTCTACTAAGCCCTTTCTTGTTTTACTGTCCCAGCTTTAATAAACGTGCCCCCACAGTCACCTGGACTTGTGTTGTGAAATCTTTCCTATATAAAATCAAGAACCCATGCATTACCAGTTGGCCCTAAGCAGATCCACTCAGGGCCAGGCCCCCTGTCTGGTAAAACTCACTGCTTTAAGTAATTTAATTATCCTCTTGGGTCTATCTCCCTATCTGTAAAAAATGCATAATTACAGTATCAACCTCATCAAGATGTTAAAAAAAAATACATTAATTAATACTTTTAAGAAATAGTGCCTAAAACATAGAATAATCAAAACCTGTTTTTTTTATTGTGGGATGCATTGTCTCAAAAGGCTGCTGCTTTTGTCTAATGTCTGTTTCACAAAGTTTTAGTTCCGCAGAGTAGGCATACCTGGCTAGGATTCTTGCGCTTGCACCCCAGCTCCTTCCTCCGAGTTTGCAGGGTCATCTCAGGGGAAGTGAGCTGATGTTCTAGCTAACCAGTTTCTCCATTAACAAAAGGACTTTTCTAATAGTTATAATCAGGCTGGTAAAGACAAGAATATGTCTTGATCCCCAAACTTCTACTATAATCTACTTTTACTCCAGGCCCAAACTAGTACCCTTCAAAGAACATAATGGTTTTTATGTAGTAATCAAATTGCTTTGTAATCTGCATCAGTTATTCCTGAAGTATTCAGTGCATTACTAGGCACTTACATGAAAAACAACAATTTGAGGTTTGTTCAGGTCTCAAACAGTAACCCATGCAAGTATGGGGCACACTGTATATTTGGAGTAATTATTAAAGCAACCTTATGGCCCTGGCTGGTGTGGCTCAGTAGACTGAGCGCTGGTCTTTGAACCAAAGGGTCAGGGGTATGATTCCCAGTCAAGGCACATGCCTGGGTTGCAGGCCAGGTCCCTAGCTGAGGGTGTGCAAGAGGCAGTCAATGTATCTCTCACATATCAATGTTTCTCTCCCTTACTTCCTCCCTCCCTTCCCATCTCTCTAAAAATAAATTAAAATCTTTTAAAAAATTATATTTGAAAAACCTTAAAACTTAAGTACAAAAAGTTTTCTAGATGCCACATGCTATTATGACCACATAATTATTTTTCTAATTGTAAAAATTAAATTAGAAAATTCTAAGCAAAAACTCATGATGGGAAAAATGACAATTTGTAGACCAATATGTTTTGTGGACTTATGAAACAAATTAAAATCATTATTAACTCAACAGTCAATGGGAATTAGAATTAAGGATATAGCAATGGGAATGAGTCATAGGATCTGACATTTGAAGGCACCTCTGCCCCTAATAAAAAGACCCTAAGTAGTGGTTTCCAAGAAGCATACACAACACTACAGGTTTTAAAAAAAACAGTCTTACATTTGTTATGAATTGGAATAGTGAACAGCCAACGTCTGCCAGAACTGTCAACAAAAGTGGACCATCAATGCCAATCAGTTATTAAGAAGGTGTCAAAGAGGAAGTGCAACTTGATGGATCTTAAATCAGCAGCATTCAGATAAGCAGAGAGGAAGAGAATGACAGGGAGATAGCAACAAGCACAATGAGATCAAGAGAGATTACTGATAATACAGAGAGCAAAGTGGGTAGTTCCTGCTGAAGAGCAGATGACCATTCTCAACGAAGACTGGTTGCATATTTAATGTCAGGTACTATTCTAGGCACTTGGGAATACAACACAAAACCCCTGCTCTTGTGGACCTTACATTCTGCCAGGAAAGCATGAGGAAATAAAGCAAGATACATAGGGTGGGGCAAAAGTAGGTTTACAGTTGTGAGTACACATAACAGTTTATCCATGTATTACTATTTATTAATATTTGTATTATTTTCCATACAACTGTAAGCCTACTTTTGCCCATTCCTGTATTAAAATATGAGAAGATAACAATAATTGTTGAACTTATATTAAGCATCAGAATAATGATTCCCCCCTCAGCAACTACAATGAGTATTAGGTATAGTCATCTGAAACTAACTTGTTAGGAAGAGAAAAAATCAAGGAATTAGAGACAATATAAATCACAAGTTTAGCTAGATACGCAAAACCTCTCACAATCCTCCTTTATGTCCCTGGGCTATTATAGTCAAGCACCACTCACATAACCAGTTTGGTCAATGATGACAGAAGTCTCGTAAGATTATAACAGAGCTGAAAAATTCCTATCACCTAGTGATGCCATGAACATTGCAGTGGTCAGAATGTGGTGGTACAGTACACTACCACGTCTGTGATGATGGTACTGTAAACAAACCTACTGCATTGTCAGTCATATAAAAGTATTACCACATACAATTATGTACAGTACACATGTGATAATAAACAACTATGTTACTGATTTATGTACTTACTACACTTTATTTTTAGCATAGAATGTAACTTTCTACTTATTAAAAAAAGGTTATTTTAACACATTATGCTGCGTTATGCCAGCAGCAGCATCATACATCTCATGTTTACCACATCTCCTGATTGCATCATTTCTCTGGTGACAATTTGATCTCATATTGTTTGCAGACTAACTCGCTGCGCAGGCTGTCTAGGTTTGTGTAAGTACACTCCATGACTGTTGGGAACCGCCCTGACTGGTATCAGAGGCTGAAACCCCCCGCCTAGCTAAGGCTAAGGGAACGCCCTTGGAACCGTAAGCCAGCAAGGAGACAAAAGCTTATCTTCCTGGCAGGAATGCTGCTTCTGCTGCTTTATTCATGACTGAACCCCCAAAAGCTTGGTCGGTTAGCCAAAGACGGGTAAGACTCCCCACGGGGAGAACGACCTAAGCCAGGCACGATCACTTTGGGAGGCCCCCCCCAAAAGAAGGACTTGGGGGGCTGCAGCAAAAGGGGGGTGATGGACCCTCGCTCCTCGGCTTTGACATAGCCTGAGTTCTCAGCGTCTGGGAGAAAATCTCCTTATCTCTTGGTTACCTAGTTCCCTTGCTCCACCTAAGCCTAAAACAATGACAGGGTGGTACAGCTCGGTACTGAGAAGTGCGGATTTCCCGGGGTGATCAGGTCTAAGAAAGAATATGTAAATTACTGTGAAACCTCCTTTGTTTAGAATGCTCTCAGTTGAATGAGAAGGGTCTTAGGAGGAAGTTTGTTCCTCAGTCTTACAGCTCTTTGACCCCAACTCAATAGACTGGCAGAGTTCTTTGTTTTCTATGGTTCCTTACTTCCCCGAATGAGTACTGTACTTTACCTGAATTATTATGCAAAATGAGCCTAATAAAAGCAGGTATGGACGGTAAATCAGCGCGCTCCCCACTAGGGGGGGTGGCCATTCTGTCCCTACTTCCCCACAGAAACTAGTTTGTCTCTGTGCATGTGTTGTTTTTTCTCGCGTGTTTATCGTCGAGCCATCCACAGCATTCCGTGGTCACTGCTGGCCGGTGACCCACGCGCAACACATGACAGTCTCGAAAAGACCATACTGCATAACAATGCATTTCTCAGAACGCATCCCCACCATTCAGCAGCGCATGCCTATGTCCTTTTTTTGTCTACTACCTTTCCCACCACACTTCAGAAAGTATAATGAGAAAGAAACAGAAGCTAATTAATCCCCCTATGCATCCAGGAACTAATATTCAACAGACCCTCTTGTTCAAGGCCAGTTTTTCCTATTGTGTTAAAGTAGTCACTCTGCCTTCTCTAGGATCTGGTACATCCCTCACCCACCATTCCCTCTCTCCTGTTTAGAGCTGGCTTTATTCACAGTATAAAGACATGCTCAAAACTCACTTACCATAAAACTATAGACAAATAAATAAAGAAATAATCTTATAAACTCTTGGCCCTATATTTTCTTCCAGCTATCATTTTTTTATATAGTTTCTTTACTTACCAAGCTCACCTAGATAAGCCTGGCTGTGATTTCTCCTTGCTGTCTCCACTTTAGCCTCCAACAAACTCACTCCTTGACCCAGTGCAATCTGGCTTCTGCCCCCACCACTGCTTCTATTCTCAAAAAGTCATCAAGGACTTCCTAATTATCTAGAACCAACATAAATAAAAACTAAGATTCTCTTACAATGTACTTTCTGAAAGAATTTGAATAATCCACAGTTTTAAACTTTATCCAATTTAAATGCATGAGTGTGTATGTAAACATCCCACCAAATTGCATTTTGAGATAAAATGCTAATTATTACAATAAGAAAAACAACACTGACCTGCATTGGTACAGGTTCCTTAAGATAATAACCTTCAACAATTTGTTCCTTCCGATAGTGATCTATGATGTCCCCAATGCTGTTAAAAATAACTTATATTGACATAATTTGCCTCATAAAAAATGCAAATCTTGAAAAAATAGGCAAATCGTTAGCAAAGATTATATATTTGCAACTTTTTTAAAAGCAGATAACTGTAATACATTAACAGAACATATAATCATAATATACACATTATTTTAGGAAAACAATATTGTTCCCAAAACAGATTTACATTCAGAATACCTTAGTCAGACACTCCAAATTTCCATAAGCATACTTAAAAATCACTACTGAGAAAAGAACAAAAAAGTCCACCTTTAAAGTCTTTAATAACAGTATTTCTTAGATTGAAAGGAAGACTTGACAGAGAAGAAATGGCATTAATTTACTAGCAAGTGGTGAGTTCAGGTGAACTTTAAGAATTTTTATCACCAAAACATTTATATATTCTGCTTTTATAATAATAATAATTTGGCCTTAGGTTATAAAACATAAATAGCAGGTGAAAGCAGAACCAAATTTTAAAGAAGACTAGAAGCAAATCTTACATGTAGGATTAATTACTACAATAGCAAAGGTTTATTTGATAACTTTGATTAAAAGTGCTACAAAATATTCTTTATATTTGGGAAACATTTTATGCAAAACTACAAATAAATGACATTATATATTTTAACACAAATTTTAACATGACATGAGCTTTTTTAAATATAAAAAAATATGTTTCTCTATTATCAGTAGGCCATGTTATCATCCTGAGTACTTAAACCCTAGAATTTTAAACATTCCTTTAGTATACTATAAGGATGGGAACTTCAGGGATCCCCCCAAAAACATGTCTCTTAATCTACCATTTGATTTTTTTCATGTTCTTCCTATAGCTACAGCAATTGAAATACAGATATTGATGGCTGGATATTATATCACTTAATTTTTTTCATAGTTCTTCCTGCTGACAGAATAGTTGAAATATATACAGGGTGGGGAAAAAGTAGGTTTACAGTTATGAATACTCAAAACACAGAGTATAGTCCTGTATTATTATTTAATTACTGTATTATCTTCCATATAAACAACTGTAAACCTACTTTTTCCCCACCCTGTACTTTACAGACTGCTTCCATATGCAGGAAAAATTTATATCTTTGCAAAATATGTATCATAAGGAAGGTCCAGTCTTAAACGAACTTCCCCTACAATTAAATCTACATAAATTATTTTACCTTTTAAAAAAGTATCAAGATGGACATTTAATAATTCAGTTAAGAGTGCATGTTTTGAATTCAGTTTTACATATGCCAAAATCCATAGAAAGCTGGACAATAGGCAAAATTAATTTACCTTCATTTAGAGCTCAAGTTTCAACTAGCTAGATATTCAGTGAGGATATCTACATCAGACTAATGTCGAAGCACTAGCAGTTTATGTGTAAGGTGTGCAAAAGGATCTCTCTCTACACTCACATCTTTCATCTGTTACTTTTTAACTGTCCACTTAACTTCTTGAAAGCAACTAGAACTTGTATTTTTTGTTTGTTTGTTTTGTTATGCTGTGTTTTCCAGATAAACTAGTCATCGGATCCCTATATACTCAAAGGTTGAGCTGGAATTGAGAAAAAATTGGGATGGAGAATCATGCTGTGGTATTTTATCTTATGCAAACCTCAAAAGAGGAAAACAAGGCTCTTCTAGAATTATCCAGTATGGGCAAACCTTTATAGTCAGACATAAAATGAAAGATGATTTTCTCTTATACAAAAAAAGTGACATTCTGCTATATGATTTCTTTATTAACATTTTACCTAGTTAAATGACTAAAATCCATTCTGACTTTTGGGACAAGCAAAGAGTTTACTTAGAATTTTAAAGGTGAGAAATAGGAACCAATAATTACAAATCAGAAATACCAGTTAGAGAACCTAATTACATTTGTAGCAAGACTCAAGTTATTCTTTAACGAATGTTTTTTCTATTGAAATGTCTCAAGGCTAAAATAATTTATTTTCCTTTCTACATATTTTGCTGTCCTACAGATAATACATGGATTTAGCAAATTTGCTGCTTAAAATATATGTAATTTTTTTATTATTTATGCACAAGGTATACATTCTGTATGAAGGAAACAAGTTATCTATATATTCATTTTGGACACTGTCTAAAGAATTCTTAGCCATGACTACTACTAAATTATTAAAGGTCTTAAAACTTTAAATTTTAAAAAGTCTAAAACTGTAATTTTGAATGATATAATATTGATATATCAACTATTTTTGCCAAAAGTAAAATTAAAAACTTCTTACAACTTACCTGTTATAATATCGGCCTCCCATCATAAACTGATTGTTTGGTGTTGGACATATTTTAAAACGCTGAATATTTTCACTGGTCCGAAAATAAAGTGAATAGTCACCAGGAGTGTTATCTGAGGGCCTCACAAGAAAACTGCAGACTTGGCCAACTGTAAAGATTAGACTATTAGTTTTATTCCCTAATTATCAAATTGGAAAAAGTGTTAAGTATTATAATTATAAAAGTATGTTCAAAAGTCATAAACATATACTAATTTTCACCAGTAAATTATTTTATAGTAAAGATAATTTTAAGACTTTTCAAAAAAAAATTTCCAGTTTATGAGTCACAGCTATCCAGGAAGTTGCTTGTCTTTCTTAAATAAATATACAGGGCAGAAGTTTGCAGCAGTGACTTCTGGTTAATAATGTCTATACCTGTCAAGGCTGGAAAAAAATAGTCTAAGCACAGTTAGGGGATAATGGCTAAAACTGCCACATTCTGTTTGCAAACCCACTTAGTAAGGAAGAATCTAAAAAATTACAGTGAATTTTGTTTAGGAGTACTCTGTACTTTATCAATGCTTTTGATTAAACATTAAAATAGTAACTAATAAAATAGTAAAAAAGCTTACAAAGGTAGATTCAAAACAAATGAAGTATTTATGTACCTTATAAAAATCAATACATATGCATTGTATTTTCATTCAATAGGTATGGTACTGAGAAGTTAAGTAGAAGCAAATGAATATGAAAATATTTTACATAAAATAACTTTAAAGATGTCTTTTTGGTATCTTCAATTGGCTATGACTCAACACTAAGTTGGCTCTTGCCTTTTCTCTGTTTAAGTCCTAATGATATAGATCAGAACTTGATTGCTTTTAGGGAAATACAATGAATACTCATAATATCAGATGTAATTTTCCTGTAAATTACTAACAGTTCCAATCATCTAGCCAGCACTTACTTGACTATTCAATATAAAGAATAGGAATTACTACAAAACTGTGTAAGTGCTTATGTGTACTTTTCAGAGGAGAAAAATCACCAGATTCTTGAAAGAGCACATAACCCAATGAAAATAAGAACTAATGTAAGGTAATTAAGTTTAGGTCCTTTCACCTTTATATGCCTAAAACAAGACTGCAAGTATTTGGTGGTACACAATTAAACTGATATTCAAAATTCAGTACCTTCATTAAAATAAACATTTTGGTCCCACTGAAAATTAGTAGCATGCCATTTTGGTTGAGCATTTAGTCTCCATTACTTAGTACCATGTAGCATTATCATATTTTTATTTTTAACCTACTTAACCTACATTCTGACAAAAAACCTGAACACTTCTAAAACTGCCTCAAATTGTTCAAAAGAACAAAGCAGTAACTATACTAAAATGCAATGCCTTATAGCTTAAAATCACTCAAATAACATATTTAACAATCATCAGTTTATTTACTATAAATACACACTATTGAACTCTGGCTGTTTAAAGAACCAAGACTTCTCAATTACAGATTGCATGTAAACTTGTCTCAGATCCCAATACGATATGGTTTACTTTAAAAATACTTGGAAATTAATTAAGATGGTTTTTAATTAAGATGATGACAGGACAGTTTTTGTTTTAAATGTAAACTCACCATACAAGTCAATTTTTACTTTGCTTATCTCTACATCCAGAATTTTGGGAAATGTTAAAAAATAATACATTTTAAATAACGCCCAATCATATAATTCTTAAGTGCACAAAGATAAATGCAATAACATTTGCTGCAGCTGAACAGCAAAAAAAAAGAAAAAGAAAACAGCATAATATTCCTTTATAAGAGACTGCTCATAAATTATGGTATTTATACAATGAAAAACTCACAATAATTAAAAATGAGAATGAAAATTTATTTGCAGATATAAAATAATCTCCCAAAATACATCCTAACATAAAAAAAGTATGTTGCATGTTCCTGTGAGTGTGTGTGTGGAGCAGTATGTATAGGGGATGTATTTAGGGGTGAGGAAGACTACAACAGAACACTTCAGGAAAAAAAAACTCATCTGGTGCTTCTTCTGGGGAAGAAGAAAGGGGCTTAGGGCAGAAGGAAAACATACTTCACTGAATGTAATTAAACTGCATGTATGTTTTCAACTAACAACACCAAAAACACCATTTTCTCTTTGCTGGGCAAGAAAATACAATATGCATAAATATAAATGAGTGTGAAAGGCAAAACACATGTTAAATAGATGTTAAAACACATGTTAAATTCTTTTCTTTTTAAACAAAGGCAAATGAATATACAAGTACCTGTCATTAGTAAATTATAAGCTTCTTGTTTGGAAATTTTCCCATGGAACCATCTTAAAAAGAGAACAAATTAAATATGTAAATCAAAAGTCTTTCTGGCTGTTACACAATCAAAGCTAAACAATCAACATTAGTGTAATTCAATCTGACATAATAAAATAATTCCTTTTACATCTATGTTACTACACTTTCTAAACATGTATAATTTCAATAAAACAAGAAAATTCAGGGACTATCCAGTATAAGCTACAATTTCCATATTAATTACCAATGTAAAAACAGTGGTGATTTTAATTCTGATAATGACAAACTGTTACATCCTTACATCATAGCTAGTGTTCTCTTTTCTCTTTATTGGGAGGGAGAGATGGTACAGTTAGAGGCCACCATGGAATTACCCAGAAAAAGAAAAAAAGGGGCTAAATTCTCTTATTTCTCTCAAAATGAATTTCCATATAATATGTGATAAGTTCTCTCTCCAAGTAAAATCAACAAGGCTGATTCATACTTTACTGAAAATCAGAAAATAAGATTAAGTCGATTAGAAAAAGTAAATACCATAATCAAGAACTGAAAGAAAAGAATAACTTAGTATTCCTAATTCTATTTGAGCTGATGAGCTATCAAATTAGACTGCTACAAGTATATATCCGTATACTTAAAGTAAGCCTTTAGAAAGATCATAAATGGCATTATAATCAAGATCCATAACATATAATAAAGTATTTGCATTTTACCTTAAAATAAAAATAACACCTCTCATTTAAAAAATTAATTGCTAGTATATGAACTACTTAAGATCTCCTCTTATTTACCTAAAGGACTATTACATACATAGCTGATTAACACATGTAAATGCCAAAACTGAAAATTCAAGATCAACTCTCTACTGCTTTGCCATATATTCTCAAGGCCTATTATTTTTAATAGAGACTTAAAGAGCAAGTAGGAAAGTAAAAATACTACCAGACTAAAAGATATAAGCACTCTAAAACCCAATGTTACAGGTTTAGAGGCTATTCATACTATTTTAAATTATCTGTACTATTACTGATCAAAGTATTAAAATGTAACTGAATTTTTACCTTTTCACATGAAATGGGAATGAATGAAATGTCAAGCTTTTAAATTCTTTAACTCTATGCCAACCATTAACTCACTACCCAGGGCTCATGATGCAAATTATGATCAATGTAAAGAAAGTACACAACTGGAGCAGTACAGGCTGCCTTACAAGGTAGTAAGGTTCTATATTGCATTCAATTATATTCTAAATGACTATTGACTACAAATGCTAGAATAAGACTTCTACATTCCAGGGGAGAGTTGACTAAATGACCTCAAAGGCCAATCCTATAATTTTACAGCTAGAATAAAGGAGAAAAATGGAATTCAAAGTGGGAGGAGAAGGATAACAAATGGGAGTTTACAGAACAAATAAGCAATATTGTTTTCTGAAAGGATTACATTTGAGTTTCTTCATTCATATATTTATTACCTATATGCAATATGTATGTATTTCAAGCACATGGTTAGCATGAATGACAGAAAGATAAATCTCTGTTTCTTAGAAGTCCCCATTCTAGTACAAAAAAGGGACACAAATACTATATGACTATAAACACAATGTGCTAAGAGCATTTTTGGAATAACAGAGAAGGGGCACCAGTTCTATAGAGCGTATAAAATAAAAGATTTCTTGAGAAGAGTAAAAAATGAGTTAAGTCTTTGAGTAAGAATAAGAATTAACCAAAAACAATAGAGGGGAGGTCCTGGCCAGGTTGCTCAGTTGGTTAGAGAGTTGTCCCCACATGCCAAGATTACAGGTTTGATCCCTGGTCAGGGCACATACAAAAATCAACTAATGAACGCATAAGTAAGTGGAACAGCAAATCAATGTTTCCCTCTCTCTCTCTCAAAAAAAATGAGGGATTCAGCCTAGGGAGTAGCTTGAGCAAAGGAGAAAATATTATGCATATTAAGCATAATATGCATATATATAAGCTGGAGAGTGTAATACTACAAATGACAAAGGGTAGAACTAGAAAAGCACACAAGGGCTAGATCAGAGGGTCCTTTCAGAATTTACTAAGGCAAGGATGGTAGAGAACCAGTTAAAATATTTAAATGAAAAAGTGATACAGTCAGATACATGTTTTAGGTAAATGATTCTGGCTATTGGAATAACAGATCTGCAGAGACTAAAGCATTAATTAAGAAAGACCACCTTCCAGGTTGTTGCTACATCAAATCCTGTTAAGAGATTGAAAAGTGCCTAACCTAGAATACAGTTGTTTAAGATACTGAGAAGAAGGCACACAATCAAGAAATGTTTTAGGAGATAAAATGACCAGGACTTGGCACTTATATAATGGAAATAGGAAGCAGGAAAAAACACAGCTAAAGTTATACCACCTATTTAATCTTAAAGGGCACTCGTGGATGTTACTGAGAACGTTTCACTGTCAGTCTCCCCTTAGGAAATTAGAAAAAGCTGACAAATTAAACTTAAACCAACAATGCAAATTTAGCTTATGCTAAATACCTAATGAAAAGTGTAAAGTTCAAAAAATTGATCAATCACAATGGTATTAAATTTAAAAAAAGATTTCCAAGTGAAAGTGGGATACTTTATGCTATGAGAAAACTGGCTATAGTTTTAAATGTTTACGAGCATTTGACATTTCACTGGCATTTGACATGTTTTCTTTTTTTAAGTAAATATATGGTATTATGTTAATAGCACTAAAAATACATATTTCTAGCTGCTCTTGAAATACAACAGAATTTCACAACCCTAGACTCTCAATTCTTGCACAGATCAGTTAGAGTGGTGACCACAGTACAGGCAAACACTTTTCTCATTTTTGACTTCCCAGTCTTCCCTAATGTAAAGAATGAGTGCCAGCTGCCATTTATTACCACACTTGCAGTGTTGTTTTCTTACAGTAGGAAAACAGTTACATGTACCTTGATCTCTATCAAGAGAGAAAATAAGACCAAGATTACTGTAATTTGAGAAAAATGGGAATATATACACCTGACCTATTTCATTTGCTTACATTATCTCTATGTCCCCCCATGCATTAATTAGAATTTGTAACTCCTGATAGAGGTAGTGGGGAAACGTCAAACTACTACAGTCAACAATGTACAGTCTCACTGGGAGGCTATTTTGCAGTTGCACAGAACGATATAGAGAATAAACTCAGAAAAATATGTTTCTCTTAAGGAAGAGTAGGGAACTAAATAAGGTGACTGCAAGAGTGAGTATTCATTCAGTTTAATATTTTTATATGTTCAAATGATTAGGAAAAAATGAGAAAATATTTGAGAGGCAAGCCTTAAATTCTACCCATTACTGCTGACAAAAAAAGTTCTGCCAAAAAGATATTAGAAGATGAACAAGTGATATATTAAAATAATTTATGTCAAGAAGAATTAGGATTAAGAGTTAAGATCTTCAAGGACAAAAATAAAATTAAAGCAAAGCTAAACACCACATGGAGTGATTTCCCATAAGAGGTTATTGGTTACAGCTATAATTTCTGTAATATAAGAAACAAATGTGGCAAGTAGCAGCTGTAGTAAAACCTGCTACAAGGTACTTAAAATCAGCCTAAAGAGATTATGAAAAGAAAGTCCTTGCAGTCTTACTAATATGGTAAACAGTCATGATCTTGAGGAAAAGGTCTCTGCTCCTCCGAAAATACTGAACCATAAAATGCATAAAAGCATGGTGATAAAAACAAAACATGCTATTGATAAATCAATAAGAAAATAAAGAAAAATGTGAGGAATTCTGACATTTATAATGTTATTAATGTAATATATATTGAAAAGTCCTTAGTTTGCTGATGTAAAAGCTATATATGGATATGAGCTATCTTCATTATTTCAAATTAAGACTTTATTACTAGATTCATGAGAAAATATTTAAACAGCAGTTCCTGAGCCATAAAAAAATGAAGTCAGCTCCAAAAGTATCAATTTTTTAATAAATATTTTTTGGCCAAAGTCATTCTATTAGTAGTTTACAATATTTTTTTCCTTTTAATAATTAACACAAACTCACATTTTGCCTTCATGTGGATCTTCTTCCCGGCCCTAAAGGGGAAGACATTAAGACAGTATTTTATATAATTAACTATTAATCTATTTTTATTAAAAATAACAAAAAACGTACCTTCAAACAACTCTACACTGCCCTTCATGTTTGTTTATATATATGTAAGATATTTCTGTTCCAGAAGTATCTTTCCAAAACTCTTTCCTACTCTTCTTCCCTTATTGTGATTTCTCTAATTCAGGCCCTTTCTTTCCCTTTTCTTAAACTATTATAGTAGCCCAACTAGTATGATTATCTCTTTGCCCTACAACATCACTCTAATCTGTATTTGCCTTACATTAAGAACACTAAGGCAAACAAAAACAAATACTTTTTTAAAAACTGAACATTTAATGTCCCCCTACTGCCTACAAATTCCTCAGTTTATAACCAAAGTCTTGTATCATATAACTACATCTATGTTTCCAGTCTCATACTATTAATTCCCGTTAGATATCTATACCATTATCACACGTCACTACCTATTCACTAATCTACATTCTCCCAATACTGTAGCTTGTTCTTTTTCATTTAAAATGTCCTTCCCACTCAATGCTTTCTGTTGGTTGAAACCTAAACCATCCAGGCAGGATCCATCTCAAATACCACCTCTGAAGTGAGACACCAGGTCCCTAAAATGTAAATATGAACTTTGAATAGAAAGGGCATCCTTCATCTTTTGAACTTTACTCTATTTGACACTCCCACTATTTAAGATACACCCCCCAGTGTTATTCATTCTGTTATAATAACTATTAACCTCTTAAGCTCTTAGTGCTTCTTTCTTTGTACCTATTACCAACACAACCACTAGCACAATGTTGGGCACATAATTTTCACTGAAAATAAGTACAGGGTAGGGCAAAAGTAGTTTATAGTAGTGAGTGCCCAGAACACAGTTAATTATCGTATCACTTTCCATACAAACAACTGTAAACCTACTTTTGCCCTACCCTATGTTGAACTGTAGTCCTAGTATACAGCACAGTACCTGGTACTGAATTATCACTGAATAATGAAAGAAAGAGTAGAAAAATGGTCTAAGCAAACATGAATTTAATTCTCTCAATTTGGTTCTCATTCATCAAATACGTAACCAGACTAGAGTCAAACGTTCACTGAGTGCCTATATTACAAAACAGTATGCTAAAAAGAAAAAAAAAAAACCTGAAAAAATATATTATCATTGCCCAAAATCTCTAGAGAAGAGGTTTACATAGTAAGTTAATTTTATATAATGTAATGGAATATAAAATTAAGGTGCTATGGTAAAACAAGAGGAAACAATTTAGCCTGAGAAAATGTTGAAATACATAAAATCTCTGTGAAAGAAAGGGCAACACCTGAAGTTGAGTGGGTAAAGATGAATCAATTTTACAAGGCAGTCTAGCAGGGCAGGAATGTCAAGGAAGAGGGGAAAAAAATAGGCAGAGAGACAATCATTCATTCAACAAACATTTACTGAATGCCTACTGATGCCACACACTACTCCAGTCAATGGGCGTACGTCACTGAATCAGACAAACTTACAGGCTTACATTCTAGAATTAAGACATAGAAGTCTAATTGTGCTTGGAGAACAGTAATTAGAATTTCAGAGTGGGAAATTCCTTAGATTCAACCACCAGCTGAATGCCTGAAATCTAGGCACTCTCCAAATGGCTTTTCAATGTACAAAGAATAACTGTGTCCCAGTGAAGATCATTATGAAAAACTATTTTGAATATTAGAGTAAAAATTGTTTGTAACTGCAACTTGAAAGTAGGCCACGATTAAAGTATTACTATATTAATTTCTAGCAGCCACATCACATTGTTTACGCCTACTGAGTTGCTCACTTTTTCTGTCTTTTTTTCTTTCCTTGTATTGACATTAGATCATGTCTCTTTATGTCAAATCACAGGTGGCAAATACAAGGCCCGAGGAACAAATCCAGCCTTCCACGTTGTTTTATCTGGCCCGGCACCTTGTTTCAAAGCCTTGTTTCTACCTGGCAGTGCAACTATTAAGGAGTAGTTACATTTATATAGCCCTAAAATTCTTCCCTTTGAAGGCAACTGCAAGGCAGATGTGGCCCTCAATGAAAATGAATTTGACACCCCTGTGTTAAATTGAGTAATTTTTTTTCTTTACTCACTTTAAACTTTATTCAAGTTTATCTTGTTAAATCTAAAAGCTCAAGAAAAGTTCAGCTATACTGTAATTCCTTTAAATAATCAGAATAATTGGGGGGAGGGGATTATAGCAGGGAGAAGAAAATCTAACATGAAAGTTTTAATCAAGAAATTAGCCCTGGCTGGTGTGGCTCAGTAGATTGAGTGCCAGTCTGCAAACCAAAGGGTTGCCAGTTTGATTCCCAGTCAGGGCATATGTCTGGGTTTGAGGCCAGGTCCCCAGTAGGGGGCATGCGAGAAGCAACCACACACTTACGTTTCTCTCCCTCTCTTTCTCCTTCCCTTTCACTCTCACTAAAAATAAATAAATAAAATCTTTAAAAAACAAAAGGAAATTTTGTAGTAAAACCAATACAGAGTAAATTTCTTCAGCTTGAACACATCTTGCCAAAATGGAATAAATATTTCTCCTACTATAGAATGCAGAATATTAATATAGGGATTAGGTAATCTAACCCTAGCTCTTCAACTAAACTATATGACTACGAGTATAGAATGTATCATACCATTTCCCTAATTCCTCCCACTGTTCTTCAAAAATTTTACTTCTACATATCAAGATCTGGCTGCCAGTATAGGCAGACAAGACAACTAACAGCAAAGAAAATATTTTCCACTGCCACCTTTATGAAACCAATTAAAGCACAGTTTCACAGCTTCTTTCCAGGTTCATGGTACAATTTAAAAAAAAAGAGTAGCACCCTGGCTGGCGTAGCTTAGTGAATTGAGTGCGGGCTTTAAACCAAAGTGTAGCAGGTTCGATTCCCAGTCAGGGCACATGCCTGGGTTGCAGGCCCACGGCCCCCAGCAACCACACATTGATGTTTCTCTCTCTTTCTCACTCCCTTCCCTCTCTAAAAATAAATAAATAAAATCTTTAAAAAAAAAAAAAGAGTAGCTCCAACGACTGTAAAAGATAACAGAATGCCATTCCATTTCACTGGGAAAATCTGAAAGATAAGGGTGGATTCCAAATTTGTAAAATAATGTTTGCTATCTTTCAGTGAGTATTGCCTCTGAAATGCAAATGCTGCTGGAATGCTGACCTATTTAAAAATGCACAAACATAATTACTTATACTGTTACTAATAATGTATTATTTGACGACAATAAAAACAAGGGGGATATTCAAAATGTAGAACCATGTGATGATTGATATGTGTAACATAACTGAGTTTTTCAGAGGTTACTAGAAAATGATACATATATTTGGAAGATAAAAAATTTAAGATTCAAGGATCAGTGGTATATCATTTATGAAGAAGATTAAGAAAACAAAAAGAAATACAAATAAGCATAAATGTTAATACATTTTGATACTTAGAAATGCATGAAAACTTGAAAATTGGCAGCTATGGATTAAAACATGCTAGCTTAGCTATGTTGTTTTACAAATAAATAGCAATTACTAATAGTGGATACATTTTAATAAAAAATTCCTTGTACTTGTGAAGGCATTTCAAAAACAAAAATGTATTCACAGATGATTTCCCTGATTATATATGTTTCACAATTTTACCAAAAAAAAAAAAAATCAGAATTCTGAGAATGAAAGAACAGAACAATACTTACCACCTCTTCTACAAGGTCTTCAACAATAAGGCCTTGTTCATCTGTTCTTAGATTTGTAACCCACATCCATCCATCTTCTAATTCGTTATGAACAATGAACATATCTCCTTTTAAGAAACTGAATCATAAATTTAAAAGTTGTATAAAGTTATTGAAAAGAATTATAAAGTTATTGAAACTAAACTGTTAATCATAGAAATTTGACATGTACCACACTGCCGAGACAATATGATACTGGAAAAATCCAACAGATTAAAGTCAAATACCCTAGTACCTGGATGGCGTGGCTCAGTGGGTTGAGTGCTGGCCTGTCAACTGAAAGGTCACCCGGTAGGATTCCCTGGCAGGGCACATGAGTGGGTTGGTGGCTAGGTCCCCAGTTGGGGGCATTCAAGAGGTAATTAATCCATGTTTCTCTTACACACTGGTGTTTCACTCCCTCTCTTCACCTCTAATTTTTTTTTAATTTTTAAAATAAAAATAAAGCCAAGTACCTAGGTTTTTGTCCTGTATCTAGAATTATCTACAAGTAAAACTTTTTACAATTAAAACTCTGAATCTTATTTTCCTCATGGGAAAAATAGATGTAATAAAGGTACCTGCACTATCTATGTCACTGGATTATTGTTCGAGTCAAATTGGCATTTTCGTAAGCAGTAATTATGTATCTTAATACATTCTTTAGAGTATAACTCCAAGAAAACTGAATTTGATAGTTTAACTCAATTGTATTACTCTTTCAAAGGTAAGTTAGGTATGAAATTATAAACACAAAGTAATTAACTCATTTCACATATAAAGATATACTTGTGTTAGAAAAAGTTTAAGCACAATTAGCCTTATCACACAGGTGCTTATAAGAATTAACACTTTTCTCATTAAAAACATTAAGTTTTATTTAATTCATTCAGACATACATGATCCAACAAGTATAGCATTCTTTACCTGAAAGTGGTACCACAGGATAATATATTATGAGGATGCATGCACATTTTTTGTTATCAATTTCTGAGTACAGGGATGCATATACTACCTAGTTTCTTTTCAATGGAATCTAGATGGTTTCAATTTCAACACAATCCCAGTAGGAATGTGTTGTTTATATATGCCATCAATATAAAACCATCAATAATTCCTTCAACTTTCCTTTTTTAGGCTTGAACAAATGCCTCTGAGGACTTAAGGTTTCAAGATTGGTTGGATGCTACCATTGTCCTGTATCAATATCCGTATCTGTCATATATATTTCTTACCAATTTTTCTTTCATCCTTAATTTTCACAAACCAAAGTTCTATTAGGTAAATCTAAAAAACTTTTCTTCTAGACTTTCTAAAGTTTCACTGTTTGTTGGACAAGTTCAAGAACAAAAATCTTGGACACAACACTTTAGATGTACTCCATTTGAACAACAGAGAAGACTGCATTCTATCTTTTTAAAAGGCTTACTTTTATTTTATTGATTTTATTGGGTTGACATTGGTTAATAAAACCACACAGGTTTCAAATGTACAACTCAATAAAACATCATCTGTATGATGCATCCTGTGCTCATAGCCCAAAGTAAAGCAGAAATTACCACTTAACCAAGTAAACTACTCCTTTCTAGAACCAACTACATTTAACACATTCAATAAAATAGTTATGAATGAGTAAAAAGAGAGTACATACAGAGCAGAAATAAGAGAATTGAGAAACGACAGGTGTCATTTATTTATCAAAAGCAGTCATCTGAGTTTGTCTTTTGATATGTTATGCTATACTATTTTTTATGGTGTAAAAACACAGATTAAAATAAAAAACTTACTAGCACAAAATATAATTGTAAGATTAATTCTGTATTATTTTGCATTTTTCACCAAAAGAAGTTAAGGTGCTTTGCTAAATCTTATCAACCTTCAGATGTTTTTACCTAAAAAACCTCACAGGCATATGCAAATTTTAAAAAGACTCAGAACTTCACACATCATTAAATTAAAATGTGTACAATTCAAACTGTTTAAACTTTCATCTTCCTAAATCATCAGTAAGTCTCAATTTTGAGAAGGTCTCTAAGGGCCCCTTTATTCTTAGAAATTAATACCTTAAAAGGTTCTTATTTATATGGATTATATCTGATATTCATTATATTAGAATTTAAAATAAAAATATTAAAAAATATATACTAATTCCTTTAAAAAATAATATAGCCCATTACATGGTAACAAAGAATATGAACAACAATTATAATTTTTACAAATTTTGCGAGAGTATTCTTGTTTTACCATTTTTGCAATTCTCAATGAATTTTCATATCTGTTTCTTCCTTTAATCTGCTGCAATCTGATATTTTGCTTAAAGTACATGAAGAACATCTGGCTTCAAATATGTAGTTGTGAAAGAGATAAATATTTTAATAGCCTTTCGGACCATTATAGATTATAACAAAAACTCAAAAGTGGTCCTTTCTTGAAGGTTAGCTATAATGTAGAATCTAAAACTGTATAGCAATGACCTTTCTAAACCTATTCCAGTGACAACTATTTGTCTGTCTCATACTTTGAATAGATCTTTTTCACCTGTGCATAATTTTGTAATATCATGCATTGATCATTAAGAAAATACTGGTTCACTGAGCTACGTAGATGCAGATATTACAGATACAAACACATTATACACTATCAAAACATCACATTCCTTAATATTGCCACCACTCTCATCAAAAAGTCATTAATTATTTAGAAAACCATCAAACTCCTAATTGCAGATATAGGGTTTCCAAAATTCTAATTTTTTTTATTAAAAGCTCAAATTTTATCATTAGTAAGAAAAACTGTCAGTTATTTCCCTTGAAGTAACAGACTCACTTTGTTCTTTAAAAAGAAAATACTCCCCTGGCTGGCATAGCTCAGTGGATTGAGCATGGGCTGCGAACCAAAGTGTCGCAGGTTCAATTCCCAGTCAGGGTACATGCCTGGGTTGCAGGCCATGACCCCCAGCAGCCGCACATTGATGTTTCTCTCTCTCTCTCTTTCTCCCTCCCTTCCCTCTCTAAAAATGAATGGATAAAATCTTAAAAAAAAAAAGTTAAAAAAACAAGACAGAAAATACTCGAGTCTGAATAATCATAGTTTGCCTGTCATTCTTTCTCTCAGATAAAAACAGTATGCACAAAAGCAGCAGCTAGTTCAGCTCTGAGCTCCCTGTTTTTCCTCAAGGTCCTGAACTTCGGTACACAGCAATGGTGCTTTAACTATACATCCCAATTTATCCCATAAAATATTAAAAAAGAGGTGTAGCCAAGGGTTGATATTTAGTAAAATAAATAGCTTTTTACTGTCTGATCAAGAACAATCTTGAGTGAAACTGCCTTTGTTTATGTAACTGCAATTGTGTGGCAGTGAAGAACACTACAGTTTGATGCCACTATCTTGATTTGTGCTAAGGCACCAGCAATTTTACTGTCCATTGCCTTTGTACCATCAGTGTAAATGTCATGGTAAAAAGGCAAATGATGTCTTAGTATTATTATAAATATAGCTTTGATGTCACGGGCCCTCTAAATGGTCTCAAGGATCCAAATACAGAGTTACATGGATTGTACTCCGAGAACTACTGTCCTAAATGATCCCACTGGGAAAAATTTGAATAAATTAAATTATCCAAAATGCCTAAATTTGTAGTTTACAGCTGTTTATTATATACATTTCCTCCCTTCTCTCTTTTATTGAGTTTTCCAGCTTAGATCACTACTAAAGGTATATCAATAAGAATAAAATAAAAAGTGAATTTGAGGACATTCATGTAAAAATTAAATTCCTATATGGAGATTCCAGATACCTAAGTCTTTGTTTTTTTAATACCGTAGTTCCATTTTAATACCCCCCAAAGTTATCACTATATTCTAAATGCTCCTTGTTGATTTTCATGAAAAACTCTATACTCAGAATCAAAATTATTAAAAGTAGCCTTAAAATTTTACCAGTAATAAAGAAATTTTCTATTACAAAATTCAATAGCTTATAGGAGACACTAAAAATATAATTATCAAATTATATAGAAATAATAAAAACAAAAAATTACTGTGTTCTATAGTCGCATACCACTAGTAAAACTTAAATTATTCATCTATCATGTAAAACAGAAGTTTAATAATCATTTGAGTAGCATTTACAGCTGAGACACAAATGTCATGCAGTAATAAAAATTAAAATGGATTACAGCATATAACCAAACTCTGCTTACTTTGTCAGAGATTGTCTAATAAAAGCTAAGTTACTTTTCCTGTCATCTTCACTGTGGCCACCCTGATCCAAATCCACAATATGAACAGAAAAGCCAAATAGGGTACTAGAACATTAGACTCAACAATAAAGGCACTTTTACCTTGCTGCATGTTATATCTTCAAATTCCAAAGCTTTCCTGGTCCAAAGGCAATAAATTATCACAGTCTTTCAAACGTCTATTTCAAATGCCAATAAATGAGAATGTCATAAAAATACCTTATTTCGTCAGTGTCTGGTACTTTTGTGTAAGGCAGAATGGCTCGCACACGCCTTCTGTCTTCTACTGGCTAAAAACCATAAGATAATAATTTACAAAAATGAATAACCTCTTTATGTCAAAGTCAAATCAAGTACGTATTTCCACACAAAGAGAAAGCCAGTAAAAACCAACAGGACAATTCAAACTACTTTTTACTAAGGTTCTAAATACCCAAAGCTTGAAAATGTTTGTATTATATTTGTCGTATTTACAGAAATTCTTTTAATGTATAACCAATGTTTTATCAAGCAACATGAATAATCATTAAATTCGAAATAAACTACATGGAACATATAAATTGACTTTAATATAAAGCCATTACAGAATCTTGCAGCAACTTCAGCATTAGTGCTATAATATCACTAATTACTCCTCATTCATTCAAACATACTTGTTAGGCTATTACCATAGAGTACTATTAAAAAAATCAAGCAACTTAAATATAAAATTATAGAAAAATTATCTTTCCCTTTTTGAAAAAGTTGTCAGATTTGCTCTGACAGTACAACCAGAATTAAAATATAAGACAACAGATACTTCTTGAATTATATTAGATAAACATCACAAGAAACTGAACAAGAGCTAACCCATTAGTAAAGTAAAATAATGAAGTTTTGAAAGATTTTTTTACAAGTTTTACTTGCCTCTGGTGGTGCAACTGGATAAAGCAATTTTTCTCCTTTCAGCAAACAGGAAACATGACTGTAATAACCTATTAGGTCTGACAGTGAAGAAAAACGTCTTCCACCAATGTAGTAATCTCCACACATAGCAATAATCCTATTTGTACAGGAAAAAAATACAGTATAACAAAACCCCTTAAAGACAATTTTGAAGGCCACGTTCCATAAACAAATTATAAATCCATAATTTTCATACTCTTTTAACTGCATCCCTGCATTAAATACCACTTAATGAATATCTTCACCACATGCTAATTACTTAAGGTTATTTCTTCTACAAATATATATGTATGCATTAGATATGAGATACATATAATACTTATGAACCTCAATTACATAATTTATTACATTATTTGTGAATCCATCCTCAGATATTTCTCACTTTCCATATTAAAAAATGAATAGCAACTTTCATAAGGTTTCTCTGGCTAAAAGCAGCTTGGAGATCTCTTGAAATATTTACAAGGAACATAATAATTTCCATTCAAAATGTGGTATGACAGTACTCTTAAAGCTTATTTTAAAATCTAAATATCAAGGGTATATAACAAACATTTTATCAATTACACTATAGACACTAATTTTTTAATCTTCCCATAAAAATAAAATTTAAAAATATGTAAATGCATTTTTTATACATACAGATTTTGACATGTGCACTTGAAAATCTACATGCCCATTTAATTGAAACGAATGTTTGCAGTTTCAGAACAGTATAGCTAAAATGAATCTTAATTCTAAAAACTGTTTCCTGTATTTTCTGTTACCCTATATTTCCACTTTACCATTCAACGTTTCCTTATAATTCAAAGAATTTATATTTTAAAAGTGGTAATTATATTGGATTAGCACAGTAACGCCCAGTAATAATACTGTTTTTAAACAAAAATATAAGCATCCAACATCTAGTCATCTCACTGAAAACAAATCTCATTTTCTTTTATTTAAATGTCACTGAGTCATTCACCTTTATTAAAGCGGATATTTTTATGAATAGTACAGCAAAACAGCTACATTATACAGCCTCATAAAAGGAATAAAGACTTACCTAAAATGGTTGACAACATTTGTCTGGCTAAGAAATGAAAGTACAAAGGACCCTGGCCTCCGATCACTCTCTCTTATTAGGTAACTGCCAGACTTGCCTGCCTGTCTGAGGCGTTCTTCTGCCATAGTTCTATCAAGTTTTCCATGATACCACCTAAGGGGAAAAATTAAGAGATTAGTATAAAAATAGCAACCATAAAGTTACTAATGATATTTGAAAAATATACTACCAGAGGTTATAAATGACTACATATAACTGAACCAGTTATTCCAATTTTAACTCAATTATTTTTAACTTCTCAGTCTCTCAAAAAATTTCATTTACTCAGTTTTTAATTTGTTCTATGGCCTAAGCATCTCACCTATGAACCTCTTCCATTTCTGCTCATCTCTCTACTGCCAGGATTGTCTATATGTTCAAGATACACTTATTACAATCAAACCCTTACTTAGAAGAAGAGTAAGACGGACAAATGGAAACAAATGGTTAATTCATTACTTCTCAACCTACTAAAGAACCAAGATTTGACATTAGGCACATGGTACCTATGAGAAAATAAAACTTTATTCCATTTTAGTGTTTTTCCCTAGAACAGGAAAATAGAATGATGCTAATGGCTACTGTTCTAATTTCCCATTTCATCAGGAAGCTGACTAATACCTTTGGGTCTTATGATGATCTACTCCTTAAACACTCATTTGAACTCAATTCCTCAAATTTATTTAACAAACCTGTGAGGAATAAATAATACCTGTTGTCATTTTAACTTTTCTGCTCTCAGTTTAACTATATCTACCTACCATACTACCAATGATCTGCTTAAATGACTGGCTGTAGCTCTAGCATCATCCCTGCTACCAATCTATGCCTACAAAAGTCTCATGGATTGATATAAACAGAAGCATACTGAGAAACAGATTGGAATTTTCAAATGGTTATGGTAACAAATCTATACAGTAATTTTTATGAAATAGTTTTATATTTTTTAATATGTTAGTCATCCAAACTTATCCTCTGGTACATTCCCTGCTGAGGACCTGGCCCACAACCCAGCCATCTGGCCTGACTGGGAATCCAACCAGCGACTCTTGGTTCCCAGGCCAGTGCTCAATCCACTGAGCCATAGCAGCCAGGGCCCTAAAACTATTTTTTAAGCTTGCTATAATAAAAGCTTAATGTTATTCTTGACTCCTTAATTTACTAAAAAAGAAAACCTGAAAACTTCTCAAATTAATTATTTTTAATTTTCTTCTAAAAGGCAACCCATTTGCCCTGGCTGGTGTGGCTCAGTGGTTGAGCACTGGCCTGCAAACCAAATGGTCACCAGTTCAATTCATGGTCTAGAGCACATGCCTGTGGTTGCAGGCCAGGTCCCCAGTAGGGGGAGAGTGAGACGCAACCACACATTGATGTTTCTGTCCCTTTCTTTCTCCCTCCCTTCCCCTCTCTCTAAAAATAAATAAGTAAAATGCTTTTTTTTTTAAATCAACCCATTTATCTATGCATAAGACTGAAATAAAATAATGAAAAACTCAACCATTGGAACTGCACTGTAACTTAACAGAAAAAACATAATTGCAAACCCTATTATAAGAAGGAAAAGAGCAATCAATGTTACATTCCTCTAAAATTTCAGTCTCAGGTCAACCATTACCTTTGAGGTTACTTATGAGTAAATTTAACTTTTAAGAGCTGTTTTTTTAAATATAAAAGGAAAAGTTTCAGACTAATGATCATGATAACTTCCTTGAAGAGCTAAAGTTTAATAATATATGATCAGTACAAAATTTTGATATTACAGGACAGAAGTTTACCTACTTGTAATATATGGAACTTCCTTAGTATATAAAACTGCTAATTCTTCATTACCTAAAGGAGTGAAGCTATGCCACGGAGCAGATTTACACATCAAAATTAAGGACAATTTTAAGCGAAGTCCCTATTTTTGCATACTTGATAGTTCTTAAATCCTTGTTATGATTCATGTAAAATATCAAGATTAAAAGATTTTATTTAATTCCCTTTCTCTTATGAACTCACCAAGAGGTGCTACACAGAGGCTGTGTGAGGCATTACACAATTACTAGTTTATAATACGTACCTAACTAAAGACCTTTACTGATACATAAAAGATATATTTGTGATTTTTAATTTTTCCATCTGTGTGATTTATGTAAGATTAAGATGGGTATTAAGTTCAAGACAAAGACATTAAAAAACCAGCTTTGTTTCCTGAATATTACTGACTCCATGCCAAAAAGCTCACAAACTTCCAACACAAAAAGCAAAACATGTCAATTCTTGATTATGATTATAAATTGAAATTAAATTGTTCAACAACAGATCCTCAAAAAGTGTTAAAATATTCCACTGTTACAGGTGTCAGACTATCTAGAAAAAAACTGAATAGTCTTAAAACTCAGAATTTCTTGAATTACCTTTATTGTTTACTTCAAATTATCAGTGTGAATCATAGTAACAAAAACATTAAATACCTACACAGATACTTTAAAGCCACTATTGAAGCATAAAAAGCACTTCAATTAAACTGTTACACTATGAAATCTTTATCCCATCTTAAAAACTGGAAATCAAAAAAATCATTAGTATCATACTAAAATAATTTTATTTAGCCCTGGTTGGTGTAGCTCAGTGGATTGAGTGCAGACCTCCAAACCAAGAGGTTGCCAGTTTGATTCCCAGTCAGGACACATGCCAGGGTTGCAGGCCAGGTCCCCAGTGAGGGATGCGCAAGAGGGAACCACACATTGATGTTTTTCTCCCCCTCTTTTAAAAAAAAAATCATTTTATTTAAATTGCATATAGTATCATGATATGCAGTTAAAACTTTTATAAATAAACCACAAATCCAATGTGATATGATTCAATTCAAATACTTCACAGATTTATAGAACCTAAGTAAACTCTATCCACTGAGGATTAATACTTAGGCCTACTTTCAAACACTATCTCTCAATACTTTTTTAATTTATGATCTTTCTTAATTTTTTATTTTTATTTTAGAGAAAGGAAGGGAGGGAGAAAGTGATGGAGAGGAACATCGACGTGAGAAACATCAATCAAGTTGCTTCTCGCCTAAGCCCCACTGGCAACCTAGGCACCTGCCCTGACCAGGACAGGAACAGGCTACCTTTCACTTTGAGGGGCAACAGGAAACCAACTGAGCTGTAGTAGTCAGTGCTGACCTATGATCTTTTTGATAAACATAAAAATTTCACCTGCTAGGAATTATTATATATTATATTTAACTTCGTGCTATCTTTGTGAAATCTGTAACATAATTCATTTTATATACAAAATAATGGGTAATATGCCTTCTCAAAACATAGCCCCCATATCAAAGATATACTTGTATTTTCAGACCATAAGACACACCTAGGTTTTAGAGGAGGAAAGTAGGGAAAACATTTTTGAAGCAAAAAATGTGATAAAATATTTAATAACATAAATAACAATACTTCACCAATGTAAATGTAAGCAGAACTCAAGAGCAGCATCAACAACCATTATTTCTCCCAAATTGGTGGGCGGGGGGTGGGGGGGGGTGCCTTATAGTTTGAAAAATATGGTAACACTCCCGAAGGAGTCACTTCCCTAGTATGATATTTGTCTAAAAGATTCAATTTAATAAAAATGCTACCCTTTCTCACTTCAAATAGTTACAATAACATTAATACAAGAAATGAAACAAAACATCTATTTAATTATCTACACTACTTCTCTAAATCTTCACAGTCAAAGCTTTATTCTATTTCTTTAATGGTAGTTTTGCTGGTGATTGTTTTCAAATAACCTAGGAAAACACCAAAAAAAAAACCCGCAAACAAAAAATGCAACTAGAATGTAGAATACTTGAAAGGAACACAGAGTAACTGAATTGTCATATTAGGGGTATGAAGACACACTGAGCATAATATGAGATTACCAGATATCTATGGGCTAAATCCCTTAAATTAAATTTTTTACTCTGCTTATATCTGTGGTAACTGTAACCCATGGACTAAACTTGGTATGTAGTAATATTAATTTTAAAAGTATCTGTTGAATAAAGGAAGACATGTCAAGTCATAAAACATAATAGTAGAAAAGACTTTAGAAGTCCAGTCTAACTTCCCTGCCAATGAAAAACATTTAAAAAGACGAAAGAAAAATTTTCTTTGATGTCCACAATAAGCAAGTTCTGACCTTTGAGAATTGCTATCTTTGTCTAAAAGGACTTGAAACAATTTCGGCTGACAGAGCTCAGAGAAAACAGCTATACTGACACCCCCTAAATTCCTTCAAAAGAGACTAAGCTGACTGGTGAGACCAAGATTTACCAGAAACCATTTCCGTAACTACGGTCAAGTCACTACATTTTGTACCTCACTTGTAAAATAGGGAAAATAATCTCTACCAACCTCAGAATAAATTAAGTATTTGTTCTAAACTCCTTCAAAGAAAAAAAATTTTTTTAACGTACTACACAGTCTATAGCAAAGTATAATGGTTAAGGGTAAAGACACTGGAGCCTCTGCTATGTTTGAATCCTAGCTCTAGCAATTTGCTGTACAAATATGGGCAAATTACTTAATTTCTGAAGCTCAGTTTCCTCATCTATAAAATGTATGTAATAACAATACCTATCTCACAGAAGGTTGGCTTGGTATTATTGTTAAATGTACTAACACATATATTCATATAAATTATATGCATATATACATGTAAAAGACTACAGGAATGATTAATACAACTTCATCAATAAAAATCACAAATTTTATGACTGTTGGATGGTTAATTTGAGAATCACCTAGGCCACAATTTTCTTCCTATTTTCCACTTGTTTACTCTTTATTTAATTTTGGGAGGAGAACAAGAGAAACCAATTCTTGTTTCTGCTAAAGCAAAGCACTGATTTTACAAGAAATTTTCTTCCCCAAAATTCCTTTAAGAACTTTACTGATCACACATATTAATTGTGGCTGGAGGCACCACAGTATTTATAAAGTTAGAAATTCTTTCATTTCGCCTGGCAACTCTAGAAGGAAACCTTCAAACAGCCCCACTCTTTCCCCAATATATATATACAGGGTGGGGGAAAAGTAGGTTTAGTTGTTTGTTCATATGGAAAATAATACAATAATAAACTGTTG